AGAATGTCTAAAAAATCACCATGAAAAAAGGGGGGGGGGGGGGGCTAAGGCAGAAAGTTTTTAAAAATTATAATAAAAGACTTTAAAATTCTTTAAACATAAAAAAAATGTTGAAAGGAACTTCTCTAACCTCCAGGAGCCATCCAATGCCCAACTCCACAATTTGACGATACCAAAACTCAAAATTCTGCCTGTGCCTAGTCAAGAAAAGCGTTCACTGGACCTACCTGAAGGTTTGGACACATTCATTGGAATGGAGAGTAGGTTCCGGGAAGGAGGAAGTAGGGTGGGAGGAATCGGCTGTGTATCTGGGCACACGTTAGACAGGGAGGATACTTTGCCTTCCAACGGCCATCAGCCGGCAGTGGACACATGGGACAGACTCGTAGGGCAGCCGATGAACTTGTGAGCCTGCAAGACAGCACAGAGAATGTTGTGTTAGGAGACGCGGGGTGTCTGGCCAACGAATTGTGCATTGTGTTTGTGATATTTACACAGCGTAGCTTGTATAATCAACTGCATATAATATTTATGAAACCTGTTCCAGCTCCATGAAGATACGAGCGCCTCTAATAACATGTGAAGGGAACGGCTCATAAGCCGTATGGCTTGTGGTTTATTTTTACCTTGTCATGTACACCACAATCCATGTTCATAATAGAGTTTTGAAAATCACACAACTCGCTCAGGGCTTATGTTTTTTATCTGGACATTTTTTCTTTCATTTTTAAAAGAGAAAGGAGTCAGAATTGTCTTAATTTTATACAAATGCCTGTGTTCTTGTTGGGGACACTCCCCTCACTTCCTGCCCCGGTGACACCCGGACAAGAAATGAGTAGATTGGGAATATATGCTGAAAGGTCAGCTTGAAATCCATGTGACTGGGTGAGAACACAGGAGCAAAATTGGTAGACAGCGACTCTATTAGACATGCAAGCTGCGGAAAAATTTGGTTCGGTTCGGATAGTTCGTTATTTCGGGATTCTGATCCGAGATTCAATTTGGTTCGGATTTCGGAAGAAATCTGAATTTTCGTTAGTTTCGGATGAGTTTACAAATATTGATTGCGAATACCACAGAAAACCATATACAGATATTAATTCTAAAGCTGAATCTGCTAGACCCGAATGGCATTAAGGATCCGAATTTCCGATTTGCATTCGGGAGCTCCCAAATGCTATTCGGGTCTGGGAGCCATATACATATATTACTGAAGCTGAGGCTCCCAGACCCGAATGGCATTTGGGAGCTCCCGAATGCAAATCGTAAATTCAGATCACGAATGCCGTTCGGGTCTGGGGCCTCAGCTTTAGTATTATATGTATATACTGTATATGGCTCCCAGACCCGAATGGCATTCGGGATCCGAATTTCCAATTTGCATTCGGGAGCTCCCAAATGCCATTGGGGTCTGGGAGCTCCGGCTTTAGTATCATATGTATATACTGTATATGGCTATCATGTTGCCGTAACGAAAATTTGTGTTCAGACCCATTCGGATGCATTAAACCGAAAAACACATCTGATTGGCCAGAAAAGTCACATGTCCGATTCAGTTTTGTTTTTGAACGAAATTCGGACGGGAACCAAAATTCGGAAACGGACATTCGGATTTGGACATATTCGGATGCATTGGGATTCGGAAATTCGTATGTGTCCGAATTTCAGAAAATTCATCCGAATTTTGATTCGGAACTAGACGAATCGCATGTGTCTAGACTCTATAACAGGAAGTGTCTGAACTTTTATGGCAGGATCGGCAGGTATTATTGTAATGAAAGGTGCAGACTTTCCACAGTGGATTTCAACTATTTTTAGCCGACTCCTATTAATCTGAATGATCTTGAAGTTTGAAAACATTGACGAATCCCACAAATCTACTTCGCTGAATGCAGTGACGTATATTCGCTATGCCCTGTGAATATGCACTGCTGAATCACCCATTTCACAGAGCCTGCCTTCTAAACTACAGAGGTGCTGGAGAGGTGCAGTTTTAGGGGGCACATTATCACTGCTTGCAGGCAGCAAGGTACCGTGAGGTATGCAGTCCTTAGAAATCAAATGTAAACCAAAGGAATGAGCAGGGGAGAAACTGCAAGGTGCGAATTAAAGCCATGAAGTGGATGAAAGAGATGGTCAGCAGAAAGGCAGCACATGAATGGGATTTTTTTTAATAAGCTTGTGATGGATTGTCAAAAATAGCTATTGTTTGTATTAAACTGGTGATGCTATACAGTCCAATTTTATACAGTCCAATGTCAGTCCAGTCTTCACTGACACAGATATCTATTCGGTGTCAGACTTCAGATTAAAGCCGCTTCTGTTTCTTTATCACCATCTAGCCGTTATGAGGTCAGTGAAACTAACATTATCTATGCACAGGGGTTTCGTTCTGCACTTTATTGTGTTTGTTTATATGCTATTTTTGCTACATTTGCTGTGATACAGTCCAATGTGTCACCGTCAGATTGTTTGTTGTATAAGAAAAGGTTTGCCCTTTGTTTAGCATGATCATACAAGGATTGCAACCTGACACACACACACACACACACACACTCGGTCCCAGGTTCAAACCAATTCCTAAAGTTTATTACCTAGCACACTACTTTATATGCCTTGTAATTATCATACTTGTGACTGCACACGCTCCGAAACAATATCTACAAAATGACATTAAAAAGAGGCCAGGAAATGGGGGAGAGAGAGAGAGAGGGAGAGAGATAGAGAGACACATGATGGTTGAATATAAATACACTTTCTTTCACAACTATGATACAGTCCAATGTTATACAGTACAATGTGATGCAGTACAATCAGAGGCGTAACAATCACCCAAGCGGCCGCTATGGTGCCCGGGGCACAGGGGGGCCCGGCCAGGACATTCCTGATGCCCTGCGGGCCGCCCGGGTCGCTATGGCGCCTCACGCTGCTGGCTATCACTGGCAGCTGTGAAGAGAAATGTGACGCTGTTCAGATCACTGACAGTGATCTGTGCAGCGGCGCGTTCCTCTCCACAGCCGCTGCTGAGTCAGTGAGAGCCAGCGGCGGCGGTGGAGCAGGCTAGACCCAGCAGTGGAGAAGGGGGCCCAAGGTTGGAATCAGAGGAGGAGGCGGGGCCCGGCGACGGGCGGAGGAGGCGGGGCTCACCACCGACGGTGGAGGAAGAGGAGGCGGACAGGTAAGGAGTTTGACCAGCCCACCTGAGGGCGACTCTGCAGAGCCCACCCTAGAGAGTCTATAGTCGGCTCTGCAGGGTCACCCTCAGGTGTGCTGTGTGGGATCTCAATGGGGCTCTGCAAGGGGTGTAACTAGAGATCAAAGGGGCCCATACAAAATTTTGCTATGGGTGTGACGGACCCCCGTACTCAGGATGAGTATGTCCGCCGCTGTCTTCTTCCTTGCTGAGGAGATATTGGAACCTGCTGATCTGTAGCTCCCAGTTTCCCCAGTCACTAGCCAAGGCTTGAGTGTAGGGTAAACAAACTCTGATTTATTGAGCAACTGCACAAACTTATATACAGCAAGTGATGAAATCAGAATATAATCCCATCACATCCACCCTCCCCTCTCAGACCATCGGTCTGCTCAACACCACAGGTGTCCACCTGCTAACGAACTCCAGACAGCCATAGCAAGAGCCTGGCCAGAATGTCATTGTTCTGAGCTCCCTCAGAGAACAATAGGAGATAACGAGGGATGGTGCTGATACTCTTTCCATAACCAGGTCACACAGCATAACGCACTCAAACATAACCCAACACCAATACACATTTAACTTATAAACTCATCACCGTGTCGTCACAATGGGGCCCTGTGATTTCTAGTTACGCCGCTGAGTACAATGATATACAGTCCGATGTTATAAAGTCTATTGTAATACAATTAAAGTATATGCTGTGACTTTAGATCTTCTTTATAAGAATGAAAACAACTCTTCAATCTACAATGTCTTGATCATTTTCGCAATTAGGTTTACGTTTACCTTACGAAATCTGAGTGTCTTTGGGACCTGAGGAATATAGAAGCCAAAACATAAAAAGACCATTCATTAGCACTGATGTAAAACATAAGGGATCGAATGAATAATACCAACTCAACACAAACACAAACTATAAACATTCCTCGTAGTGTGGGAACTCCTCTGCAAGCTGCCAAGATGATGCAGTTTGTTTGATGTGTATCAGATCGTAATTAGCAAAGTCGTGAACGTGGTTCCCCAGACAGGAATGTTGAATGAAAAGGTCTCATTTAGAGCATTCGCACTATCCCATCTCGCTTTTTCTAAGTGGGAATTCCTATATTATTGCTAATGGGGTTAGGCTTTGAAGAGGAACGTTTTCACACCACAGCCAATTAAATTGCAGCTATTAGGTCCAAGGGGAATGTGAAAATGAGAGCTAGCACCTAGGTAGTGGGAACTGCTCTGTGTTTCTTTGCCTTCACATTAAGGCCTCATTCACACTACCGCACGTATACGCGCATACGTGCGTATTGTACCAAATGCAACATATGCAAATAAATGGTTCCATACACATAGGCGCGCATGGAGACGTATATTTTAGTTAGCGTAAAAATGCGCGAAAACAGAATGGAACCAAGATGCGTCCGTGCAGCGTATTTCTGCATATATTTTTCTACGTATACGCGCATATGTGCGTACAGTTCATTAAAATTTCCATTAGGAATGATGCATTCTAGGAAATGCAAATAGTGCACGCATATACGCACGCATATACGCGGCGCATAGACGCTCGTATATATGCGCCTAGACGCGTATATACGCAATATACAATTTTGCTTGCGTTGTATGTGAATGAGGTCTTAGGGCTTGTGCTGCCAAACGCTGGCTTTTGCATTTGTGGTTCTAGAACCCCAGATGTATCATTACCTGCATTAAATCATACAAATCAGTTTGGAAACTGACATGGAATCTCCCTGCACGCAGCTGAACGGGGTCAGGGGTGACTCACTGATTGCTAAGTGGCTGTCAACTACATAGCTAACAATGACGCTGACATTGGGCGTATTATAATGGGGATGCCAAGGGACTAGTTCCCCATCAGATCTGCTATGCCTCTAATTGACAGCAAGCAGTGGGCTGGTTCCAACAGCAGACTGGCCAATGTTGACAATGCACGGGCAATGGTGACAATGCATGGGCAATGGTGACAATGCATGGGCAATGTGAATAAGAGTGTCTATAACAGTGAGTGGAGCCCAGACTGGGGTATTTCACCACAAGAATGGGGGTTTCTTTATAGCAAGCACATTTTGAATATCTGAGACCTTTTTTTTTTAACTCTTGCATAAAAAAAAAACTGCCCATGTGTTGGTGTTCTAAGTGGCAGCTGGAGTCCGGATACATTTTTTCATCTCAGTCGTTTTTCTTCCCTCATTCAGCGCCAGGATTA